TAATCTGAACTAATATTGCTTTTAGAGTATTGTTTCATCTTTAGTAATTACAAATTTAAACTGGTTGTAAAGCACATCCCTCTCTTGAGGCAGCCATGTTTTTCCAATTGCATTATGGGTAGTTACCCATGACAACTATATAGAATAGTGTCAGACTCTGAAGCTGTCAAACGATTTTTTTAAGTAAATTATTCACAGATAAGCTGCAGATCAAAGATACCAAGGTGACAGTCATGTTATTTAGGGTTTAATCTTTTGATTTATGTAAATTTTTGAGGAACTTTAATTCATTTTTCTGATTTAAATTTAATTTTTCTTGTTCTATACAAGGCTGTTCCATGTACACTTTATTGAGCTGTGTACATTTTGCACACAATTTCTAGGTTGTGTTCAGAGTTTCATTGAGTGCACACAGTCAGTTTGTGTGTGCACACATAATTTTAGTGTGCAGCTGAGGAGTATATAAGCTCCTGTAAATTCAGCCGGAGCAAGTTTGTGAGATATTGAGCTTGGGTTTTGAAAGTAAATATTTTTCTGCAATTGTAAGTCAATTTAATGATTTTTCTCTCTTTTGCATTTATAAAAAAACTTTTATCAGTCATTTAAAAGTAAAAGTTATCATTTTGAAGTAAGGAATTTATTGTTTAAACTAAGGATTGTTGACAGATATGTTTGCATTTTTGACCTTAATTACATTAAGCTAATTTAACACAGATTAAATTTTAATTATTACACTGCTTAAATTATTGTTTGGACTTTGTTTACGTCATATGTGTTTTGCTGACATTTTTGAAAGTTTTAATTATTCATATGATAATTTTGATAAATACTAATGAAATAAATAATAACATTTAAATTTACTAAATCTTGTACGTGTTTCTTATAATAGAAATAGTTTAAGTAAAGGTATAGGTAAATAAACCCTTAAGTTAGAAACTTCCGATTAAGCTTAGCCATATTCGAGCCACACTCCCCCCGATTTTGTCCAGAAGTAACTTGAGCAGAGATCTTGGAATTCAACTTAGAGATACCTAAACCGACCAGAGCGCAACAATATTTACTCCTTAGGGTCTCTACTTACAATTGGTACATTTTCTCATTATTCTATTTATCAACAAAAATATAATAAGAATATTATTTTACAGCCTGTAAAGGACAAGGACTAGGGTAAATTCCTATATTGATTAAGTAAAAGAAAGAGCATCGAAACACGAGGCTATCTGATTTGTACGAGGGGGCGTAGCCCCCGAGTATAAATCAGATTGCCGAGTGTTTTGATGTTCTTTCTCTTTTGTATCATAGTCAAACATAAAAACACGTTCCCTGATACCACAACATGAAACCCCACAAAAAAGTAAACAATGAACGAGCATCTGAATATGATATTTCCATCGCTTTCCCTTTCTCTGTCGTCACAATATGTAAACCCCGGACAAAATGAACCAATCAATGGGCATGCTCTGGAGTGCGGGTAACTAATACCCGCACTCCAGTTAACGCACGGTGCATGTATGTATACGATTTAACTCTGTCACATTTTAAACAGAAAGGTCCCCAAACTATGATACAACTTTTGTAAGTATATTTTTTAAATTTGGGATACATTGAATTCATTCATAATATAAATTAAGTTTTAAATAATCAGTTTGAAAATTGCTAAAAAATATATATATTGATTTATAGAATTCTGTTAATTATAAAAATGTAAAAATATCTAGTACTACATTTTTTTCTCTTGCTTTTATAGAATAACTTCCCTTTTGTAGATTTTCTGTTTTATATAACATTTTTCTTATGGATAATTTGTTTATTATTGTTATTGCTTTAAGTTCGTAAGATATATACTGAATAAATAATATTATATTGTTTTATAAAAGCAGGCAATATTCTTTTACATAATATAGACAAACACTGTTAATCACCTATCTAAACATTCAGTTATTTCTCAATTTTGAAACAAGCATAATATGACGAAATTGAATATCTTCATAACAATATGTTTATTTTGATTAGCATTATATTAATAATCAAAAGTCAAGTTTCAAAATGTCATTCATAAACGAAAAGTAATTTATATAATCCACTATTACACCTCTTTAAATGTGTTTTACTAATATAAATGAAATAAGACATTACTTAATATTATTTTTTTTTAAATTGCCTGTGTTCATATTTTCATTAAGATCTTTTTAATTAAATGATATTTAACTTGCACGGAAATACTTTTATATAAGATAAAAGTGTCAAAAATCATGTTGTGGATTGACGTTTTCTTAGAGAGACTGTATTTAGTGCTTTTATCCTGCTGTGAAATGTAGTCTAGTACTGGTGTAACTCTCCAGGAACGATGGATAGGAAACTACCCGCCTATATGACTGAAATACTGTTGGAATAAGGCGTAAAATGAAACAAACAAACTGCTGTGAAAGGGACACCCAGGGTAAATAACCATTCGCAAATTATAGTATACAAGGTTGATCGTTATAAAAAATGGTAATGAAAATTCTATTTTGTACAAGAGGGAAACGGTTTTATTGAAATGATAAAAAAACAAGTTATTTTTAACACATTAAGTACTTTTTGAAATTTATTCAAAAACTAGTATTTGTTGAATGTAAGTTTAAGTATAAGCTATTCAGACTTCTCTTGCGGAGCTGTATAACAGTTAAATTAATTACTACACGACGTTTCATGTTTTATTTTTAAAAACAGGTTTGAAATCTAACTATTTGAATATTTCAATCTACTTATACCCAACATATCTGCATTTCTTCTACAGCAGTACAAAATTCATAGGATATCTTCTAAAACTTCTTCAAATAAATACCTATAACTTGTGAAAATACACAGACATATCTCTTAATCTGTTACTATCATGGTCCAAAGTATAAACTTCACTTTGAACACTCCTTCTTTTAAGATAAGTATGTTTTGAAGCGTTTATTTTTTTTTTTCTTTTCTTTTTTTTAAATAATTTACTAACTGGAGGCAAACCACTTTAAAATTTGCATTATTCACAAGAAAAGGTATTTTTACTTTCCTTGCTAATTAGGAGTACTTTGAAAGGCGGCGTTCAATGAACGCAAGTCTTTGAAGTCTAAAGTCTTCCTTTTACACTTAAATGTTTATTCTTATGTTTAGTATTATGTGACAATGCCTGGGTAGAATCTAATCTTATCAGTGTCAAGCTGTTTATTGGAAGGCCTGATGATGAGCTTGTATATCACTCTTTTGTCAACTTACACAATGGACATTTTGGAAAGTCAAAAATAACATAAAAGACCAGCAAAATTGTTTAAGATTCAAACGGCTCATCAAACTATTTTATGATTTCAAGAAAGAAACAAAATCTTTTTTATCCTACCATTAACATATATATCTAATATGTCCTAGTCAGTCTCAGTTTGAGAATAAAGGATTATCAAATATTGTAATTTAAAAAAATAAAGAACCAACTATTAATTATTAGAATGGAACAGAACAAACTTTTATTTGTACATAGTACATTATTATATTCCATAGACCATACAATTTCCAAACACATTATTATCATCATATTTGTCACTCAAATTATCGAAAACTGTTTATACTTTATTCATAAAAACAGTTCACCAACAATTTTGACTCAATGACAACTTATTCGATCCTTTCCTTAGTGAGATAAGACAGCCAAGAACCGACTAAGGTGTATAAAAAGGCTTAAACTTGCACAAATTATCGCCCAAGATTTTTAAAATAAATGTGCGTCAAAATATAAATTGATGGTATTTGGACCATTACAATATATAACATATTTCTTTTTCTTTTCATGTAGTATATTTGCGAGAGAAATATATATGACATCAAAACTTATCAATAAATTGCAAATAGAACTCAAAATAATATATTTCTCCGGATATATATCTTTGTTTATCTTGATTTAACATTGTGAGAAGATGATTTAGTAAAATATATACATTTCCTAAATAATTTCATGCTAAAATTAACAATACTTCAGCTTGCTTACGGAACATCGGTGGTCCCACTCAGGTGCCCGTTTGTGCCTGAAATAATGTACAGAGATTCACCTGGCGTCTTCCGCCACAAGTAAAGCTGGAAAGTTGCCATATGACCTATACTGGTTGGTGCGACATAAAACTCATCCAAAATAACATGTAGTTCTTGACTTGGCATATACAAATAATGTTGCCATGGCGTTATGATAGATAACACAACAACTCGAATAGGTACAAATATGACGTATGAAAAGTATGGGCTGTGATGATTGATTCAAACTTAACGTGATTCAAAAATATTTGAGTATAAGTTTATAAGTAATTTCAAAAAAGCAATTTCATATAGAAAGAAGCAGGTGAAACTAACAGAAATGATATTGATCAATTGACTTTACAGATGAACACACAATTACACAATTATTCGAACACTTGTAGCTGAATAAGTGAATAAGATAACATTGACACAGATCATGCGTTAATTGTCATATTTGCAGTGCTACATAGAAGTTTAATTTTTGTCAAATGAATGATTTGTTCTCAGTGTTAAGTACGATGTATCAAAATGAAATAAATAATAGAAATAATCATCATTGAACTGTTTTCACTCATTAGATGTAAGATTCATACAATTGTTCTTGATTGTATAACTTATCAACAAATTGGTTTTGAATGTTGGTGTAGTTATAAAAGTCACATTTTAACATGGGACTCATATCCAATGACTATATATGTATGCACTGTCTTGGTCATCCTGAAACGATCATAATTTTCACCTTATATTGTGAATCATGTATGTACTATAAGATACTGATGATTGCGTAATTATAATGATATTTTAAATTTCTGCATTTTCAAGTTTCCTGACCAGGAATTGGAAACAACAAGAAATGATTTATCACGCGAGACACATGCTCTATATGGCAATTCCATATCTATCTTGAATGATGACAAGATCTGACCAGTTTGTAATATCTGTACAATAGAGTTTGTGTTTTTACTACAAACCAGGATAGTATCAGAGGGACCAACTGCTAGACCAAGTGGTACTTTTATCTGATCATCCTTCACAACTACTCTCGTGTTTGCCTTTACGTCATATATGTAGACAGTATTCTCGTATCTATCTGTAAGCACCACTTTATCACTGTTCCGTATGTAAGTGCAAGTGCTTGTGCCTAAAGGACATGCCTTGTTCGGAAAGTCGATACAAAAAACGTATGACTCTCCTGACAACGTTACTATTTCAACAGGTATTTGGCAATTAAATGTCCCAACCATTAATTGTCTATTTTCTTTTAAACATATAGAATCATATTTCGTTGTTATATTATATTTTCTACTTGAACTTATTTCATTAGCTTCACTAACACGTAAGAATTCTATTATATATTCCCTGCCAGTTGTTATCGCTACTTCATCCTCAGATACAGCAACAACGGACAATGGATAATAAGATAACTGATATGACCCTACTTTTTTCAATTTTTCATTGTAAACTATCAATTTGTTATTGTTATGATCCACAGCAACTAGTCTACCATCGGGTAGAAAGTCTAATCCGGTAATGAATGGTTCCCTGGTGTTCTCTTCTGTCTTCTTTAACTCAAATGAAGAAACTGGAGTTAATGTCATCCCCTTATTAACAGCATTCACAATTTCCCGTTGATGGTATTTTAATGTGAGCTGTCCCGGAACATAGTCGGTAATTGATTGCGGTGGCAGATTTAATTGTTCGTCAAAATCAAATGAAATGGTCATCGTCTGGCAGTAGTTCTTACATTCCCCATTGAGATTTCTGCATACAAAATTGACTTCAGTATCCATCCTCTGTTCTGCTATAAATTTCTGCGTTGGAGTTCCATTTTTGTAAATGCTATGAACCGTTTCTAGATACGCTGTAACTTTATGCAAATGTTTCTCGATTTGAAATTGCTTCTTTTCAAGATTATCTAATGTTTCTTTTTGAAGAGTTTTGGCTCTCTTAACAATTGCAACTTCTAACTCGTCAAATATTCCCATTACTTCATCTCGCATTTCCCTTATTTTTGCTTGTATTTCTTGAACGTCTTGAACAAGTTGATCTTTCGAAGTGATAATGTCTCTTGCAATATCTTCTGCATTGTCGTTGGCTTCCTGCCATATATCATCTAAATCAGAACTTGATGACGTCATTTTCCCGATAATTTTCCCGACCTCAGCAATGCTTTTACATGCACGATGATCAACAATGTCGCAAGTTCTGCAACAAAGCTTGTTCTCATCTTCACAGAAAAAATCTAAAACCTTTGTGTGTTGATCACATCTGATTAGATGAGCTACTTTTGCATTTAGCAGTTTATGACTTGTAAAGATGGCAAGCACGTTATGTACATTTGAACAATCAATACACTGGAATTCATTACACGTTGAACAAAATTTGTCAGCCACAATTTTCTTATCTTTACTTAAACATGGTTGACACATAATTTCTTTGACACGGCGTTTATACAAAGTGTCCTTGACACGCCCAGGAACTTCATCGTCCTCTCCACCGTCCGCCATTATGTTCAACAATGATTGTCTATTTTTTAATTCAAGTTAGTTTATATTCTCAACGCATTATTTTAGCAAATCTGTATCAATCCGATTTAATATTTCAATGCATATATGCAAGTTTTATAAACGTTTCATATAACAATATGTATCTGGTATCAGTATTCTATCCCTGTGTTATCTTTCGTATGTTTACAGTGCGTTGCTACAGTAATATTGGAAACGCGGAAGTTAAATTGACTCAAATTGGGTGAGGTACAACTTCTGAAATATGATATGATTATTATTGATATATATATATATATTTTTCGGTTTGTTCTATAGATGGATTTCATAGTATCAATGAACATTTAGCCTTTTAGTATAATTTTCGATATTTTAGATAAGTTTAAGTGGGATTAATATCATAATTCGATACTGGCTCTTAAAATAGATTTATTAATCAATATCAGACGGGACAAGTGGCTTTGACATTCATACATTTTGATATTTAATGTTTAACATTAAACATGAATGATTTATTACGTAGCGACCTATATTTCAATTCGAGGAACCCTAATCTGCCTTAAATACTCGCTAAGGACCCCGCAATAATGAAGGTTAACGTTAATAGAAATATATATGATAACAGAAAGGTTTTTATTAAGAGATACAATTAAAAGAAAAAAATGTCTCTAGTAAGTGAAAATTGTTTTACAGAACAATATTCAAAATGATGAATGATAGTAGTGTCATTTCAAGCGATGTCCAATTTTCATGATCTTCCTTAATTAACAGATGATAACTACAACAATCGAGGAAAACTTATGACGTTTTAAGACTTTATGACCACAAATGTTTATATTTCAGTAATAAACATGTATTTTCACGTCATTCTTAATATATATCACGTAATCAATAGTATTTCGATTCCTGGTTAGAGTGACATTTACTGTCAAAACATTACATAGGTGTTGCTTTCACATCTATGATGTCGCTTTTAAAATGCCTCAGGCTCGGTTTCCAAGGCGGCGCCCCTCTGTGTTCCTCAGATGTATGTCTATGTTGTTTTATACTGTTTTAGTGACACTTTTGCTCGTGTCTCTTGTTGTTTCTCGTCTACGGTAAGTATATTCCCTTTGTCCCTAGTTTTTATTTATTTTATTCCCCCCCCCCTTCCCCGTGTCTCATGTCCCCTTCCCTTGTGCCTTTTGACATTATGGGCCTTATATTAAATCATTTATTTGTTTTCTTTTAGTTCCTTATCAGTTACTAATTATGTATTCTGAAGAAGTGGTTTGCCTGCCCGTGCTCTGTCTTGTGCCCTGTCCTGTTTTTCTTTGGGGTCCTCCTGGGCTCCTTGCCGCTGGGTCGGGTGGGGGCAGCGTTCATTGAATGCCACCTTTCCTTGTCGATCTTGTTTATCATATTTGATTGAGAGTGCTCATGGACGGTAGTGGTAAATGCAAGCTACCGTCCACGTACAAAAGCACCAGCTTAAGCAGTGTTCAACATTTATAGTATAAAGTTGGTGAAATTTGAAATTAAGAAACATCCGCATATGTGTTCATAAGGTGGTGATCATGATCAAAAATCTTCAATGCGATACTTTAAAATTTGTTATTAAAGATTGTTTCCTTAACAGAAATGTTAATAAGAATATTGCTTGTTTTTTTATCATATAAATATTTGTCTCCAAACGGGCGATTCTGGAAATACAAAATAATAACTAATCTTGTGTAGCTGCATTGTCATATTATTTATACATAGATGTACATTTAATGTATATGTTTACGACTACATGTACACGCGCTCAATGATACGGATATGTACGCATGCTAAAGAATATATAAATTTCCACATGCGCTTGATAACAGCATGCATATGTTCTTAGTATGAACATGTGTTTATAACTAATATGCAATTAAAATGTGTTTTTACTGTTATATATTCACAAATATCAAATATTTTTGTTTTTGTTTGAACATGCAATACTAAAGCACCAGTGAACTGCAACCTCCAAATCCGTTTTCTGGCGGGTCAAAGAGGTAACGTTTTGGCGCAAAAAAGCGGGGTTAATGGCTACTTTACGCCCCTTGTGCTTTGCGACATGAGAATTGTAACCACCGTAAAACCTTGCGTGATCAAATGGGCAGTGTTTTCTCTATGTCAAAAATTTTGGGGGTCATATTTGACCCTTTTGTTCAAAAATCGAGGGATATTTACAAATAAAAAGGGTCATGAAAATATATTTTCAAATTAAACAATAACTTCACTTAAACTTAATGTAGGCAAAAAATGTACAAGGTATTATATTTTCATTTATTCCATAATATTTTTAACACCAGATTTTCAGCCACATTTTCAGTTTTTATTTAATTACATCTCTTTTGGCATTTTCATGTTCAGTGTGTGTAAAGTTTCCTCTTTTTGGCTTTTTTCCACTTATTATGGGTTAAGATTACTGGAGTCTATGTTTTTCTTAGCTCCGGCAGGTGAGGTGGTTTTGGTGTTGCTTTAAGTTTGTAACACCTAAGGTTAACCATAATCATTTTTCTTGTTACGGCGCCATATGACTTAAACTGTGTAAGTGCGCCGTAAAACTAAACAAAAATGACCATTTTGGAGTGCGGAATATGGAATTTGAACATTTTACAGAAAAACCCTATTGCTTTTCGCGATGGGTCGCGGTAAAGAGTGACTGGTGATAAATACATACATACATCCTTATCATTTGCAAAATTACTGATATATATTTTCTTGATCCTTGATATTGACTCATATTTGCCATAGAGTATTGTCAATTAAATTGAATGAGTTCATATTTTGTTACAGAAATGCTCTTTTTTATAAATAAATAGTTTATCGCTAAGTAAATGAATGAAAGCCATACCTTTCTGAAAGTTGCTGAAATATGCGCGATGGTGTATTATCTTAAATATGTACTTTAAGTCAAAATGTGAAGAAACAAGACAGTAATAATAATCGACTGTTCTGTTTGTAAAATGCCAAGTTCAGAGTATCATCACATTCCTTTGATATAGAAACTTGGAGATGTCATGGTACTCTGTTTTATCACAAAGTCACAAATACAAATACTAATAGTTATTTTTAATTAACAATGTATCTTCCATTATTTTATATTGAAAATATTGAAAACCCTGTGTAAACCATTTTTTATTTATTTGTGTTGATTGTTAATACATGTACTAGGAATTTAGTTTATATAGATAAGTAAAGTGTATTTATGAGATAAGTTGCAAAATGAATTTAATCTGCTACAGTTCAGGTGGTTTGGTTGCAATAGCAAGAGCTTTTTTTAAAGGTTTTGATGTGTGCGCCTTTAAACAAAATAATAGTGTGTTCGAGCCATGCTGAGTTCACGACCGTGCTTCTTCATAAGAAACAACAACCGGCTTTGTAGTACCGTATACAGTTTATGACGTATATACCTAACGCGTGAATGATATACGTTGGTTGAAAACGTACTTCGTAGCTTACGATGAGCTGTATTCGTTAAGCAGTATTTGTTGGATATGTTCTCCACTTTCAAAAAAGGTGTTCTGTCTTAATGTATATAACTCACGCTAAGTGACAACATTAGAATGATTACATAATCATTATCCTATTGTTTTCATATTAAATTGGGATATTAATAATGACAGCTATATTTCAATTAAGAGTTATGTATTTCCCAACAACTGGTACAGATATTTTATAATTTGACCCATATATATATACGAAACTCACTTCACATGAAAACTATTGCAGTTGTGAATGGTAAAGAGGGTTGGTTTCTATTAAAGGCAGCCACTTTTTATGATGTAATGAGAATACATTTTGTCCAGTTTTAATATTTGCAAGAAAGAATTACATGCTCACACCTTACACTGCGCATACGCCATGTAATTATTTTCTATAGTTTTATATTCCTACTAAGCAATATCATGATTATATTTATTTTCAATTAGGTCTATTTATGATTTATTGTATTTATTTATTCATCTTGTATCCATTTATCTATTCTTTGTACGTTGTTTATAGCATATACACCTTTGTTGTTTGTCCTTGCGAACTGTAAAAACACTAAGAAATCAAAGCACAGAAGGCGCTGAATTTGTTTGGGTCTCAGAATGTAAGAAAGGTACAGGTTGTGAGATTATATGTAAAGTGCCACCAATGCTTTCCAGCGTTTTAATTGTAGTAAATTGGCTATAAGACTAATTGCAACACTGATATTCAATCCAATGTTTATTTGACTTAAACAATTTGAAAACAATTAGTTGCCTTTACTGGGATTTGAACTCCAGACCTCTCGCTTCCTAAGCGAGCGCGAAAACCATTCAGCCACGGTGAATTTATATGTGAACGGCCTGAAGAAAACCATATTATTCTAAATCAGGGCTTGTAACGACTTTACACAGATGTAAATAATCCTGGAGCTTACTATAAGCATGTAAATTTATAAAGAATCGAAGGGCTGCAAGTTCTGTGGTATTTTCTGATCTTTGCAATCTAAATCGTACTGTATATCTGTATGTATTTTCCTGTATAAGTTTATTTTTATGTATTATAATTCATTTTGCAAGGCACCAGAGTTTGATACATACTTCCGGAATTCTGCATAACTAGAGTTGCATCAAAATATCATTTATGTTCATTTTTTACGACAGCTACACTTTATCCCTGCATATCATGGCTACTTCCTTAACAAAGACACTTAAAAAAGAATTGAAAAAAAAAGTTTCCTCGACTGGGATTTGAACTCCAGACCTCTCACTCACTAAGCGAGCGCGTTACACCTGCTCCACGGAGAAGTTATACAATCAATGTCTGAATAAGATCAGGTCATTCTTAATTTAGAACTAACATTGCATTTCGGGTTTGTAATCCTTATCAATTTCGATGTATTTTGTTCAGGATAAACCTGTTGTTTAAAATTGAAGTGAATAATTTAGCGAAAATCTTCTCGCCCAAACAGTCCGACATGTAGAATCTATATATTCCACTACTCGGTTTGTGTAGTATTC